GTTTAGAAAGAACAAGAAGAATATAACAGAAGAAAAAGAAACTCCCCAAATTTTTCTTCCAAACAACCCAGAAATGTTCTGGTTACATTCATAGTCATATCCTTTTCATTTTTTAATTGGTTGAGGTAAACCTAGAGTTTTAGAAGAAGCAAATTAGAAACCAAACCCAATGTAGTCAGCAGTATGTAGTGCTATCGCATAATCTTTTTTTGAGGTACTGTACAAATCACAATCACTTTCCTGAGTTTTTGAAGAAAATCAAACACAAATGACTTTCATAAATTAGGATCCGGATTCAAAGTACAACATGGACCTTCTCCTGCCCTTCCTGGGGTCTACAGGTCAGACTTGATTGAGGAATACTGTTGTTCTTTTGAGAGAAGTGTCAAAAACAAGGAAAGGAACGAAAAGCAGAACATGTCTGATTTTGTTTCATGTTAAAGCTCTCTATATTAGCACATGCCACCAATGTAGATGGTGAGGCAAACAAATCTAAATCCAAATCAATAAAGCACCACTTCAGGCACTTCATAGCAACAAAATCTCAAAAACAGCAGAATGATATTTACACACAAAGAAGTTCGTCCTCACTTACAGAGTTCCTCGGTAAGTGGAGCTCTGCGTCTGCAGTACTGAGCCCAGAAAACAGTATTTCTCTGTCTGGATTATGTGCAAAGGGCCAGACCTTGACTTAAGTACAGCCATGCATCATTCAACTGTATCTGACCGTCCTTCAGGTTCTTCCTTAGGGGTCATCTACATTTGTAATAACCACACTGTTTAACTGCATGTGTCACGCAAATAATTCTGAATTGTAACCCCTCTTAGAGTAAAGGAGGTCACCCCTCAGATTTCATTACGCCCTCACTCTTTACTGACTACAACCAAACATCTTATTCCATTCAGTGTATGTATCGAGTTCTTTCTGTGATATGCTGGGTTGGATTTTGCAGAACACATTCTCAAAGTCTTGGTATGACACCGGTCTCATGTGACCTGGCATCATTCCGGAAAGGTCTGCGCTGGACATGCCATGGAGAGGACCAACCATGGCCTCCTGGCAAAGTCGGACCACATCCAAACCGGAGAAGCCGTCTGTCCGCTGAACAAGCAGCGCAACCTCTTTGTCGCTGAGGCAGTAGTTGTGCTGTGAGAGCAGCTGGCTGATTATCTGGTGTCGTGCGGCGGCATCCGGTAAGGGGACGAGCAACCGCTTTACAAAGTACCTTCGTAGAGACTCATCAATCTCTTCAGGTTTGCTGGTGGAACATACTACTAGAACATGTTCCTCTGGTGAGCTCAGAACTCCATCGAGCTGGAGGAGGAGTTCACTCTTGATTCGGTTCACTGGACTTTCTTCGCTCAACTGGGCAGACAACAGCAGATCTATATCGCTGATGAAAACCACCGAAGGCTGCCGGCAACGAGCAATAAGGAATGAGGCCTGGACGATCTTCTCGCCCTCTCCAAGCCATTTTGTGACCAGAGCAGAGCCACTAAGGAGGAGGAAAGCTGCGCCAAGCTGACTGGCCATACACCGGCCAAGCAGAGTCCGGCCCGTGCCCTGAGGTCCAAATAGAAGGATGCTGCGAGGTAATGTTGCCATACCGCTGAACATGTCTGGCCTCAGAATAGGCCACAGGACCTCATCCTTGATGGTGGCTTTTGCCATCTCCAGTCCAGCAATGTCACTCCAGTCAACAGGGGGTGTCTGCTGCAGAATCTCAGTAGTGACTATCTCTACCAAACTAGCATCGCTATTTTTTAACTGCTCCTCAGCAGGGTGGCTGGATGAAGTGGCCGTGCCAATGGAATGGGGATGATGCTGTCTGCTGTCGTCACCGTGGTCACTCAAAACAGGGGAACCAAACTTTCCAAATGACTGGCCTGAGCGCAGGGATCCCAAGGAACCTTTGGAGGATCCGTAAGAAGGAGGGGTTAGTGCCCTGCTGGACTGGCTGCCGAATTTCCGCTGCTGATCCAGTGGCATTGACTGCTTTGTGGGCTTAAATGCCAAAGATGATGTGTCAGCGTTCCTGTCGAATCCATTCCCTCTGGTTGAGTCAACAAGACTATTGTCTGGCATTCTGTACATGGGGCTTTGAGCAGAACGCTGCTGGCTGTAGTTGAAACTTCCATAACTGGATTCCATATCTCCCTGGCCCGTCATGTAAAATGCTTTTCTTTTCAGTGTGTTGGCCGAGCTGCCATTCAAAGGTGTTGGTGCAATTGGTGCATGGTTGTGGGACTGGTAGGAGTAACCGGGAAGGGTGGAAGGGGGTAGGGGTGTGGGGGCAGCAATGCCTGAGGGCAAGTAAGCTGAGGGAGGGGGTGCTCCTCCTGGGCTGTAGCCTGGGGCAACAGCAGTCTGTGGGGGATAACCTGCTGGAGGGTAATTGTAACTGGAGAGATTGGGGGAACTTGCATTATAGCTGGGCACTAGGGTAGGAGGTGGCGGGGGTGGAGGCTGAAGGAGCCCAGCGCTGTGCAAAGGTGAGGGATGTGGGGACGGGAGAGCTGGTGTGCTTTGCCCACCACTGTAAGTGGAATGCAAGTACGAGCCATTGTAACTGCTAACGAATTCCTGAGAGGGGATCCCCGAGTGCAGTGCAGTAGACGCATGATTCCCGCAGTTACTGCTGGAGTAGCTGGGCTCACTCAAGCTATTTGCCACCCCCGAGGAGCTGCCAACACTTGCAGCCACATCTGGAGGAGGCAGGGCAGGTGTCATGCCAGTCTTACTTACAAAAACCACATCTGCAGCACAGCTCATTGGGTAGATCCCCTCCTGCCATGCTTCGCTCTCTGACTTGCGTCCATTTAAGAGTCCTGGGGCGCTCTCGGAGTACGAGCACAGGAGCGCCCGCTCACTGGGACCCTCCAGGATACCAGAATACTTCTCTGCATATTTCTTCAGAAGGTTGGAGGCCGTCAGTGCTGATATATCGTCATTGGCCCAGGCATACTGGTAGGTCCTCTGCAGGTGTCCACGGTATGCCTCTGCTTTATGTGCGGGGGAACGTGTTGTGGATGAGATGTCGAAATGTTGCTCTGCCCACTGCACATGCTCTGGGGTCCACTGCATCTTTAAGCCTAAGCAATCAACAAACAAAAACAAGCAGGTGTGAGAAATTTGCACTCATGAATAGAGACTGATAGATCTGCCATGATGATTCATCTGATATGGCTGAAATTTAGCTGATAACTATGATTGTAACGGAAGTGGTCATGTGGCTTAGTGTTGATGGGTAGTAAATTTTTTTTGTGAATTGAGCCAAATATGGTTTTATTTTGTTTTTTTTAACGTTTTGCAAAGTTATGGTTTGCAGATGTTAATTACATAATGTTTAAAGACATTTTTCATGCATATCATTTTATTTAAATTATTTTCAAATAATTTTAGAGAACTGTGATTAAATATTGTGAAAAATCAGTGTTATACAGAAATCAGTGCTTGTCATTAAAAACACATTGGTCGACCACTGGGGTTTTCAAGGTTTTCTTTTTTTGACACGTCGGAATCAATGACCCAATAAGCGACTGCTATTGAAAAGAAACAAAATACACACATACGGCAACAACAAGAGTAAAATATGATTTCCATTTTCCCCCATCCAACTCCCAGAGAGCCCTGGCTTCACATCGCAGGCACTGCTTACAGTTGGTATCGCAGGAACAGTGCAGATTTGGGCCTCCAACACCTGGTTAGCACAGTATAATGCACCCTGCACACAGCCGAGTGACACAGACATTGCAGGTCACTCTATAATCCAACTCTCATCTAAAGCAGTCCCAGACAGTTTCAAATCTGCTTGGAGGAGTGCAGCAAAGCAATCTCCCAGGCAGCGCTCTACTGCTTTCATCACACAAACTCACAGCACGGCATGAATTACAACAGCTTTCTGTCTGCCGCCCGCCTCCCGGAACACAAGGAACTGGAAAGGGGGAAAAGCATGCCTGCCTCCCTCCCTCTCGTTCGCTCTAATGCTCCCCTTTCTCTCTCTTCCTTTTACTCTGACGCTCTGGGTTCTGCCTCTCTCCTTCTCACTGTCTTTTCTCTCCACAGCTTCTGTCTTTTATTGGCTCCAGGGCTCAAAAGCCACCATCAAGTTTAATCTCAAACTCCATCTGCAAACACAAGCAGTTACATACGCTGTCATCTTAGACACAGCATGGGATTATCAAAGAGACATTTACTCAAGAGCCGACTGGATGACGGGGGTGGTCGCACACACACTCTAGCCGTCTGTAGCTAGACTTCTGATGACAACAGTGTTCGGCCGTAGTGTCCAGCAGGCATGTTATTGTGCTCACACCGCCCGCTTATCTGAGCTTACTGGGCCTAGGCACTCACAAACACTATTCACGGCACAAAGAAGAAAGAAGATGTCACAGAAAACGACACTGTTTATAAGCTTTTAGCCATGTGCCTATTTCTAAAGCCTGTCAAATTGCCTAAAGACTGCACCTTTTCCTGTATTCAACGGCAATTGGGTATTTAAAAACTCAACATACCTCTCAAAACATGATATAAACAGATGATCACTCCTTGTAGTGTGTGCATCATAAACGATATATCTGATCGATATACATTCAGCTAATTAATAACATTTGTAAATGCAAGCAAAATATGCACACATTTTTAATAGAACATTTTAATATAAGAAAAACGCAGCGTCTGTGAACATTTTTAGCAATGACACAAATTAATAATTTTACTTCATGAAAACGGACACTTTGAACAGGTTTATGGAAATGAATCAAGCTTGCCAACTCAAATGCTGTTTTCACTACTTATGTTGAAATCTTTTTAAGGACACAAAGGATCGTGAAACTAGTCTAATTACACAGTCTTTCAGTCACTTAATGAGCAAATTAAAAGGGCACTGAAGTCACTGCATTGCAATATTACTTAATTTTGCATCGCCAGCAAAATATCACAAATATATAACATAATATCACCTAGCCCTACTTGTATTTGCAGAGTCTGGGATGTCTACTCACTACATCTCTATAAATAAAACCCCTTTGTTACCCCATCAGTGTATTGTGTGTGTATCAGAGCACTTTCTCCACAATAGAAAATGGGCATGTGGTTTTCCTTTGCCTGAATCCCCCAGCAGCCTAGTCCGACAACACACACACACACACACAGCTAATTAGTAGGATGATGCTGAGCTAATTGTGTTAATTTACAAGGTTTTAGTCAAAGGGATCGCTGCTTTGGCTGGCAAGGCTGTCAAGCCCGCGAGTTAATGACTAAGAAAGGCTGAAGACAAAGAAAGCTGGCAAGAACATGGCAGACATGCCAGCAAGCCCATTAATAAAGCCCAGGGATAAAACAGCGCCGCAAATCTAGACAGATGTCATTCTAGTACGATTATCAACTGATAAGCAATGTAACGCCTATGTAAGACTTGCTAGCAATAAATACATTTCATTATCAGAGCCAGACTTTCCCTTAATCAATTTCCAAAAGCAGGTCTCTAGTGTGAGCATTTGTAAGTGCAAAATTGCTGCATGCAAATGTGAAAAATAAAATTATTTGGTGCAATTATGCCGGTGCAAGTGACATCTGACATCCAAATAAAAACTCATTTTTTCAACAGATCCTCATGCATTTAACTGTGCAGACAAATTTCACTTTACACTGCGGTTAGCTGCTTTTTGTTGCTTTGCATTAAAGAAAACAAAGAAAAGAAAAAAAAAACCCTGTAAAAAGTAATTTTTCGAATAGGTAAATAAATCAAAGATTATTAGATTACTTTTTACGAGAAAATACTACTTCAGTCTTTCTACTTCTAAATTTCACGTTTAGTTCAACTTGTTACAGTGTTATTAGCAGTATAATAGAGACACTGTATTAGCTTCTAGTAATATTTTGAATTGAGTTTTTATTTTTATATTTTCTGTTTTCATTTCAATTTTAGTAATTTTGTGGCTTTTAGTAGTTGTTTTTTATGTCTATTATTAATTTATTTTGGTTTCAGTTGTATTAGTACATAAAGTTAAACTGAATTAAAATGAGAAATGTTGCCTTGCCAACTTGCTGATGCTGAATTTATTTATTATTTTTTTAAAACTGAAATGTCTCTTTTATTTCAAGTATCAAAAAATAGTCTTTGTGGTTTTGGTTTTAGTTAATTATAATACCTTTAGTTTTAGTATAACCCTGGTCACTTGTCATTTCTTTGTAATTATTTGTTAAATTTACTAGCAACTTCTGAGTAAAAATAGTAAATCCTACATTTTTTTCAGTGTGTTTACTACTGTATAAGACAAATGTCTGGTTAACTAAAAATATTAAACATTCACTGACATGCATTTTGACTGTGTATGTATAAAATACACTTGCAATAATAATTTTCATATCAGATTATAGTATTGTTAATACAAATATCTGCTTGTAAATATTGATTGTTCTCCTTTAATAACCTATTAAACACTGGATGCATATTTGCCATCATCCGAGGACAAGCTATTCATTTTTTTATCGTGCTAAAAAGCATACGGCTGCAGTGCCGGCGATTATTACCTTGGGAATTCAGAGGTTCGGCTATCTCCCTGCCTCTGTACATCCACTTGTTAATGCATTCATTACTCTTCTTTCATGTTCCACTTTGGAATATATATATATATATATATATATATTTATATATGGCTCCTCTCACAGGCTGGTCTTTGTGAGGAATGTGGGTGTTAACTTGCTCTACAACAAAGTAAGACATTTCAAGAGGTTGAAATCCTCCGCTGCGCACACAGAGAGATTTCAAACAATGCGCTCGTCTCGCGGTTTGATGGGTTTTATGAAACGTACCACACTCAAACAAAAGAACAAATTCACTCCCAGTCACTATTACCGAGCCATTACAAAAATAAAACCTTTCTCAACAAGAATAAAGCAGTTGGAAATGAGACATCAGAGATTTATTTTACAGGGGAATAGCGAGTCGCTCTGGACACTTTGAATTTGAGTACTCACCTTATGTATGTGCAAAATACTTATTTTCTATTTTTATTCAATATGCTTACTTTGACCCTTCAGACAGTGTCGTCCCCATAGCTTGTTCAAACCTAAATTGGGAGCTTTGTGCAATGACACCGTTTGAGAAAGATTTGAGGATTATAACTGAACCATGGAGGAGGAAAACGAGAGGTAGAGAGAGAAGCAGAAAATGAATCATGTGTAGTCTGAATTTATACTTCACTAAATCATCAGCTTCATTCCAGTCCACGCTGTGCTCAAGTTTCAGTTAGCGCTGTGACACAAACATAAATAACACAAAAAACACATCCTTATCACTACTAAAGGATTAAAAGTGTCACTCAAGCCTTTCTAATCTGTCATCGGTGAGTTTACTAACTTCTTAGGGAACATGCCGACTAGCAATCTGATCAACAATGTGCCCAAAGCATAGTTTACCATATTATGCTATAATTCATAAGACCTTAAAGGGTTACTTCACCCAAAAATGAAAATTACTCACCCTCGTGCTGTTCGAAACCCGTAAGACCTTTGTTCATCTTCGGAACACAATTTAAGATATTTTTGATGAAATCTGAGGGCTCTCTGACCCTCCCATAGACAGCAAGGTAACTACCACGCTCAAGGTCCAGAAAAGTACCAAGATGATCGACAAAGTAGTCCGAAGTTACGAAGCCACGAGAATACTTTTTTGCGCAAAGAAAACAAAAATAACGACTTTATTCCACATTTTCGTCTCTACTGTGTCACTTGTGGATGTACGTTCACGTCATGGCTCGCGTCATGATACTGTCGTGAACGTGCGTCCACAAGTGACGCAGTAGAGACTGAAATGTGGAATAAAGTCGTTTTCTTTGCGCAAAAAAGTATTCTCGTGGCTTCGTAACTTCGGACTACTTTGTCGATCATCTTGGTACTTTTCTGGACCTTGAACGTGGTAGTTACCTTGCTGTCTATGGGAGGGCCAGAGAGCCCTCAGATTTCAAATTAAAATTATTTGAGGTAGTTGCTAAGGCAGCATTTCTTTTAATTTAAGATTTATATCTAATATTTATATTTCGCTTTATTTAAGCTTCATTTCAATTAGCAAAAAACATTTTCATAGTTTTAGTAAAGAATAATAACATTGGTAGGCATTAATGCATTGTGAATTCGCATGAACAAACAATAAACAACTAATAAATAATGCATTAACTAATGTTAATAAATGAATACGTATATACACACGTAATAAATATACATTTGATTAAAAAAATGTGCTTAAAAATTGTATTATGCATAGAGTTGTCTATGTAGGGTGCACCAAATCATTGACTTGTGAGGTTCCAGTTAGTTAGGATGCTATCTTAGAAGACAGCATGGCAGTTCAGCAGATTTAGGAACAGAGCAAACGTCAGCCCTAAGAAGCAGTAATTCTTCTCTATGTAATCTGAATAGTCATATAATTACTTGTATTTGTATTAAAGGGATGTTTGGAGCCAGCCTGAGGCCCCAAAGCTCAATTTCCACTGATTGACTTCTCACAAAACCCCCTTTTGTTTAATTCACCACTGTCTGCTGGCCTACTTTACGCCTGGAAAATCTTAGATTACGCTGACCATTGTCACTCATTTGGGTGAGATGCCAAACAAAAGCCGGCAAGACTGATTGATCGCAAGCTGGACTTTATTAGACGAGATATTCTTAAGGTGCATTGAATATTTTGCTCATGGTCTAGTGCTGGGTGGGTCGCAGGTCTTTTCGGAATGTCACAGATAGCAAGGAAAAACGATGTTAAATGCATAGAATAAAATACAAAACGCACAGTTATGGAAAGTAAATGAAATCAAATGTTGTAGTGTGGAGAAAACACTTCACATATCATTTGTTGACGCCAACAGACCACATCTAACATTTGAGGAAATTAATTTGGAACTCAGCGGGATTGTTACATTTAACTAAAACTAAAAAAAAATAAAATAAAATAAAAAAATAATAAAAAAAAATCTTGAAAGGATTTCTTGAAATAAAATAAATGTTAAAAATGTAAAAAAAACTTCAACTGGTGACATTTCTTATTTTAGTTTAACTTGATACTAAAATAACTAAAACTGAAATAAAAACTATATAGACGTTTAAAGGAAAAACTAGTAAAACAATTACAAAAACACAACAAAAGTACAAAAATTGAAATGATTTTTTTTTTAAAGAAATTGAAAATTAACTAAATTGAAATTAAAATGCAAAATATAAAAATAAAAAAGGTAATAATATATATAATATAATATAATTTATAAAAATAATAACAGTATCTTACTGTTAATAAAATAACACTGACACTCAGTAGAAGCTTGTCAAACATAGACATCCTCAAAATGATGAACAAAATTACACCGTCAAAGAAAATATGACCCAAAATACAATAAATATGGGTTCATTTAAAGCAAAATGAAATAAGGTTTGTGTTGACAACAATGTGGAGTGCAATGAATTATTAGCCATTCAGACATATTACAGCCATTAAATTCAAAACTAGAAACCACAACTGACTTTTATTCAACTCCGTCTGTGTCAAGTTTTTTTGTCCATGTTTGATTTGAAAGAAATTGGTTTAATTTTTTTATGATAAAAAGCAGAAAGCAGAAGTAGAAACCAGTCATTTATAATTACGTGCTTTGTACAAATTCCATTATCACACAAACACAACGAGCTAAATTTCAAAAAGATAAGTCAACTTTCTCTTCTGAACATCCAACCATTACCATCCACCATACTTTCTCACCTATCACAAGCTGAAACCTGACAGTAATTACTGATCATCTGTGCTCGTCTAATGGCTCTGTTAGTTCTGCGACTGATCAACACACTGAGTTTGGATGGCGAGGGGGGAGCGGAAGCGAACGCACGGCAATACACTGCAGTGTGTAATTTCAGACACTGTGATCATGGCCAATGAGACAGAGAAGCTGACCTTTTTCGGATCTATTAATCTGGCTAGCCTCGGCCGATTTTAAGCAAACAGCGGCGAGCTTGTGCTCTGTCTGTCCAATTTCCCAGTGCGTAAATTGGACAGCCGCTCGCACCATTCTCAATTCATTACTGTGCTGCTGAAAGGAAGCTATGAGGTGGCGGAGATGTGTGTCCCGGTGTGTGTGTGTGTATCGACTAGAGATGTGCAGTTTGGTCATTTTGGGGTTATATGAATGTATCTCTGAGGGGCACTGACTATCTTTAGAAAAATTTTGACAGTATTTTCCTTCATCTTGCCTCTGTATAATGCATATTAAAGTAGAGTTCTGTTTTGTTGACCACGATAACCAAGGAAACGCTGTATTTCCGCTGTTCCATAAGCGCCACCTGCTGTCAGAGAGTGAATTTGCGTCTCATTCAGCCCGTCTGCTGTTTGTTTTGTGCAGATGTTTTATGTAGTATAGTTTCACAAAACTAAAGTCAGACCATTCTGTTTTGTTTCAAATTTCGAAATTACACTGTAATTAGTTTAATTTAGATTGTACTTTAGGTAAAAAATATTAATATTAATGTTATCAAATTTGTCAAATTTTTTTTTTTTTATATATGCATCAGATTGCATGATGCCTTGCTGTTTTTTTTTTCAGCATCTTACACCACTGAGATGCTGTGTCAAGTTGTTAATTCATCCTTAATTAAATACTGTTTAGTCATTGCTGTCCCAATTTTAACCAATCAGACTGCAAGGTACTGCCCAAAATGTCACTATAACCAACCACAATTTTCATAAAACGTTTGAAAATAAACCAATGATGAATAAATAAACCACTACAAAGCCACTAAAATATACTCAAGCACTTTCCTAGCGTCGACATGCAATCGTTTCCTGCAGAATTCTGTGGTATTAAAGGCCTGTTTTCGCCGGTTCTCACTCTGGTGTTTGGTGCGGGTGGATGAATGCGGATGCCCTAGGAGGAAGCTGTCATAACTGAAACGTGGCCTAATCAGACTCATTACCATTTTGGGCAATTTGCACCACCAAAGATGCTTATTAGGTAACTGTGTTTAATAAAGCGCTCTTTAGAAAGCTAACAGTAATGAGCTCTTTAAAGTCAGCTCGGAGTGTGATTATGCCAGTGGAAGTGTTTAGCCTGCCGCGCACAGACTGCTACATTTAGTCTTGTGCAATGCCATAATTAAGCCATGCAACCTGCTTCCACTGCCTCACAATGGATGTGGCTGCGGCCTGTAAAACCCGGGAAAATATTTATAATTACTGATCATTACAGCCCAGGGATTTTTATCTGCGGATGTAAACACAATTATGAGAGCCTCTTGCTTTCATGTGCCTCAAACAGAGGACTCTATATGACAAGCGTGCAAATAGTGTGGACACACATTAATTACATTTATAAATAAAAACAAGCTCGTGTTTTTGTTTCAGCGCTCCACTGATCTCTCTCGCACGCACACCTTTTCCCTTTCTCCTCTTTTGGAGCAAGTCTGGGATGTGCTTCTAATTCAATCGCTACCAGAAATCATTACGGCAATTCATCTTACATATCAACTTAAAAGGTAATTTGAAAATCCATGTCGTCCTCGTTCAAATGCTGCCGGAGAGCAGAGGTCATCGTTTAGCTCCTAATTTACTCAAGAAATTTAGTCAAGGCCCTCTAACTGCCGTGGAGCACATGATTTTCCTGACCACGGTGGAGGAGGACACTGATGGAGGTGTTCTTTTTTTTTTATGGTTGCATTTCCAGTTGGGCTGGACGACATACTGAGCATTTATTTATGATATTAGCAAAGATTTTGAGAAAACAAAATTAAGCAACATTGTGAGTAGTAATTAAAGTTCATGAATCAATCGGTCCAAATATAGATAGAGAACAATAGATAGATGGATAGAACAATATAATGATTGAAAGATCATAATAGACAGAAGGATAGATAGAAAGATAGACAGATTGAACAACAGAATGATAGACCAATAGATAAAATGATAGATAGATAGATAGATAGATAGATAGATAGATAGATAGATAGATAGATAGATAGA